ATCAGAAGATGGGTACACTGTGATCCTAAAGGGATAGACATCGTCAGCAACAATATTCAGGGAGGCTGTGGCAGTGACACAATGCTCAATTGGTAATACTGGGCTCAAAGTGTGCCAAGAAAATGTCCCCCACTCCATTACACCACCACCATCAGTCTGAACCGTTGATACAAGGCAGGATGGATCCATGCTTTCATATTGTTAGTGACTAATTCTGACCCTACCATCCGAATGTTGCAGCAGAAATCGAGACTCATCAGACTAGGCAATGTTTTTCCAATCTTCTATTGTCCAATTTTAGTAAGCCTGTGTGAATTGTAGCCTCGGTTTCCTGTTCTTAGCTGACAGGAGTGGCACCCGGTGTGGTCTTCTGCTGCTGTAGCCCATCCGCCTCAAGGTTGGACGTGTTGTGCGTTCAGAGATGCTCTTCTGCATTCCTAAGTTGTAAGGAACGGTTTATTTAAGTTACTGTCGCCTTTCTATCATGCCATTCTTCTCTGACCTCTGGCATCAACAAGGCATTTGTGCACACAGAACTGCCGCTCACTGGATATTTTCTCTTTTTTCTCTGTAAACCCTAGAGACGGTTGTGCATGAAAATACCAGTAGATCAGCAGTTTCTCAGACCAGCCCGTCTGGCACCAACAACCAAGCCAAGTCACTTTAATCAGATTTCTTCCCCATTCTGATGCTTGCTTTGAACTGCAACAGATCGTCTTGACCATGTCTACATGCCTAAATGCATTGAGTTGCTGCCATGTAATTGGCTGATTAGAAATTTGCGTAATGAGCAGTTGGGCAGGTGTTCCTAATAAAGTGTCCAGTGAGTGTATGTTGAATTTAGTTGTTTTCTCAAGACATTGCCAATGTCATGTTTAAACGTCAAGTCTGACAGTGGCTGAACTAGTTCATACACCAAAATAAGAAACTTTCATTTCAAACACAGATTGCAGCAACATGGGAATGTCCTTCACCGAACAATAGAGTATTCACATTTCAGTGACAGGAGCCTCTTTGTAAAAATGCTTTACATGTTCGTGTTCAGTTCACTTACATTCCACTTCATCTGGAGTGTCCGTATTAAAAATTCATGGCAAAAAGAAATAATAATGAATTAGGGCTTGTTCGACGATGGAGGAAACAATCATTAGCCATTATTAATTCATGTTTGAGAGGCCAAATGTCTGACAAGCATTTGAAACTAATTTTTCATACATATAACCCAAGGAAAAGAAAAAAGGGCAGTGGGAACCAATCATGTGTAATAAAGCTTTAGTTTCCCTCAGCAATAAGTGAAAAAAAATAACCTTACAAATTGCACAACAGAAGAGCATTAGAGACGCTTGACTGTGTCGCCGGAAGAGTCTTGTCTGCAGTGGAGGCGAATGAGACGCAGCTCACAGCGTTTACTGCTGACTAACAGACAAACACACACACACATACACAACACATACGTGCAGCGCTTTGATTGTTAATTAGAGTTCACAAGCTCAGCGCAACAACAGCAATGCTACACGCGCACATACACTCACAGCTGCTCAGTCATTTTATCAGTCCACTAAAAGTGACTAAAAACAATACACAATAGAGATCATAATTAAAGAACGCTTTAAAATGAGCTTAGTCCTATTTGAAGCTATCCAAACAGGAGAAAAGAGCAGTGCAGGGATATTTGATGAGTTACATATCTTCTGAAGCACAGTATAAATAAGGGATTTTAAAAGAACACTTTACATTAGAGAACACTTTCAGAGGAATCTCAGTTCTTGCTGTTGATCTGCACCTGATGGTCAATTCCTTCAGCTAAAGCAAGAGAAGCTGTTCATTCCAAATCATTAAAGTTTGCAACATTAAAGAAACATATGGTCGTTAAATAGTCACCCGCTTCCAATGTTATCACTCGATTGAATGGCCGTTATCAGTGGTTATCAGCTGATAGATATGGGCTACTAGTAGGCTCAGAAGGCTGTTATCATCCATCCACATGGTTAATCAGCTATACTAATAGAGAAGACTCCAGATCCAGATCTGTTTTTACATTACTGTGAGGGTTGGGTAGACGTTATCAAAATACAACTAACTGGAACATTTTATAAATAATATAAATAATTCTCCTTAACTTCCAGCCACAGCAGTATGTGATCTATAGCTGATTAACCTTGTGGATGGATGATAACAGCCTTCTGAGACTACCAGTAGGTGCAGAAGGCCCTTACTGGCCCATGTCTATTAGTTAATAATCACTAATATTCCCAATTCAATCGAGTGATAACATTCGAATTGGCTGAAATAGTTGAAGTCCCCCTTAAAAGGCTGGTCATCCACAATAGATTCAGTAAATGGACAAGGACAGGATAATGTGGAGAATCTAAGTAGCTGGGCTACTATAGGCCTGTGTTAATGTGCATTTATTTTGAAGTAGTGCATTAGACACAAGTGATGGAAAAGGGCAAATTTTGAATAAAAATCCCTTATTTGGGAGGACAACATAGTGGCGCATTGATTGGACGTACCTATTCACGCTCTTGTAGCATTCAAGAAATTGGCTTTCAAACAGCCACAAACTGAACAAAAATATAGCTAACAAACCACTGTAATGATAAATAACTCCAAGATAAAATGACATTGAATACAACAAAGAAGAAACACAGCAATCAAGATGATGCCAATTCCGCCATTGGCCAGGCTAGCGCAACATACGAAGCTAAAGAAACCAGCACAAACATCGATAAAAACCAAGAGAGTACCATTAGGGATGCAATCGCAAGTATGAGACAAGACTTCTCAATCAAATTTACGGGGATCTTTCTTAGCCAAACAGTAGGTAAAACAAGAGGTCAATGACTTTTTAAACAGACAAACCACAGCAGAATAGTGCATCAGCGACACAGAAGATCGCTCCAAGGTCTCCAGCAACAGGTGAAACTTCTGGAAGCTAAACTGGAAGATGAGAAAAATCATTGCAATAACGTGTGTTTTACCGGTCTCCCAGAGGGGGTGGAGGGCACAGATGAGACAGGATTTCTTGAAAGATGACTACGTGAAGTACTGGGACAAAGCTCTTTTTCCAGCCCGATAATTATTGAAAGAGCTCACCGTCTACAGGATTGTCGAGACTGGAATACTCATAACACATCACATGTTTCTTGAATTCAAAGGATAAAGACAGTGCTGCAGCGTGTGCGGGTTAAAGGCAAGGCAACTTTGAACACGAAGTTACGTTTTTTCAAGATATCGTGAAAGAAACAGGTGCACAGGATTGAAAAGAGATGGAATTGCATTTGCAGAATATACTCTCAAACAGCATCAGAGTTTACTATTGGTTACTAGGTTACCAATACTATAGTCAGCCGCTCAAACAACTTGATGTAGATGCACCTCATTCACATTTGGGATATCTGTTATTTTTTGCAAACTTTGAAGACAATCCCTTCATGTTAGAGATGGAAGCCAGCCAGCTGGGTTCAATGCTGCAGCTAAAATTCATCCTCACTTCAGCTCTAAAGAGGGTAAGGACCTCAACATACAGTGTCTTGATGTTTGAGACAATTTGAACTGAAGTGACCAAACCTTTGCTGAGGACATGTTGTGTGAACAGAGATCTGGAGCAAAGTTTTCATTCACTTAAGTGATAAAAGCAAGTTTAATTTATATAAGTCCAATGAGAAATATCATGTTTCTTATTACACTTTGGAAAGACTTTTAAGAAGCAGTAAAAGTGGGAGGAGGAAGAGTCGTGGTTCATTTTCTGCAGCACCAGCATCTTTGTAAGACACATGGCAGATTGAATGCAAATGTTTATCAGAAGCTCCTTCAGTTCAGTTCATCAATTAATTAGCCAGCGATGTTCATGCAGGACAATGACACCCTGACACAGCAGAACAGCTAAAGCAGTTTCTTCAAGCAGAAAACATCGAAATAATCAAAAATGGCAGCCCAGAACCATGACCTTAACCTGATTGAAAATCTCTGCAAAATCAGTGGTGACAAAGTTCTGGCTAATAAATACTACCCAGCAGGCAGACAACATCAAAATATGTTAATATTAGGTTAGATATACTTACTGTAGGTCATGACGTCAAGCAACCAAAATTCAATGTCTAGCCAGTCTCTACGGACAATGTTATTTTGACATCTAATAACAAAGTCAAATTATGTTGATATTTGGTTGATTTTAGGTTGTGATGGAAAGAGACCCAAATCCAACATCTGATAGATGTCATAGTGGTAACGTCCACACAGCGTAAAGGTGTAACATGATTAGATGTTGATATTTGGTTGATTTTAGGTTGGACATTGATATCGGCCTAACATTGGGTTCTAACGTCAACCCGATTTTCATTACCAAAACAAAATCCAACGTTCACACAACATTGGAGTACGTTGGGGTACAACGTTAATATGACATCATGTTGACGTCCTGTGCCCGCAGGGTACAGTCAGTATATTGAGATGTATAGATGTGTCGAGGTCATTGGACCTAGATACATTTACACACTCCTAACTGCTGTAACATTCGTCATTTCTTTAAAATCCTTGCTGTTCTTAGAAGTTTTTCTACAAAATAAAGAGTTTTTGGAGACTGGAAATTTCTTCAAATTTTAAAGGATGAATATTATATTGTTTCCAATAGAAATCAAGTGCTCTCTAATTTGGATCTCGACAGTGAGATGATATGAATGATAATATGATCTCCAGTTTCAATAGTATGAAAAAGAACAAGACATTAGAGATGAGAAAACAGAGCAGCTCAGATCAGTTGAGGACACAGAAGAGCTTAAGGACTGTGGAGATCCTGTGGTCACCAGCTTAAGCAGGAAGAGCCTGAAGCTTTGAAAGGACGTGTGTGGCATAAATGCAGGTGAAGTTAGAGGATAGCCTATATTTATCCCCAAATTCCTCCTTTAATTAGCAGCGGTGCTGAAACGTGAACTTTTGAAGGTCTTTTGAAAGGCACTGGCCTACAGTAAACTGCTTGTTAATTAACAAATACTAGTCGATTTTTAAAAATCTCTTTTTTATTTAAAAATAGCAAGTTATTCAAACATTTACAGGATATGTGAACAAAAGATTCTATGCAACTGTTCTGCAGCCTATACAGAAGAGAAAAGAAATATATTCATGTTCTTTATTTGTTTTTTTTTGTTTTGTTTTTTTACAAATTACAGGTGAAACGAGAAAAAGAAAATGTGTGTTGACAGTTCAAGTCCTCGGTTCAGCAGACCCTGATTTTTACCCGATGAGTTTTTCACGTTGTGTGGTAGAAGCGCACAGTCTGTTCACATGGTGCACATACACACACTCTGACATGTGTGTACACATACTAAAACATACTACACACACACACACCAAAGTCTTGAGGCTCTCCGGGTTTTCTGAGATTTTGAAATCCCATAGGCGGATGGACACAGAGGGCTGGCAGATCATTGTTTGTAACCCCTCTGGTCTATCGGCCACTTTGTTTCTAGAGAAAAGCCCAACCTGTGTCTCTACGCTGTCTTAATGCCTTCAAACCCACAGAACTTCCAGCGTTTCTCCAAACTCGCCCCAACGCCCGTTAATTCCTGTTTAAACGTGCAGGGCAGGCGACCCAAAAGACTCTCCACTTCTGTGGTACTGATCTGAAACAACAAGAAAAATGATGATTAAAACACTCCAACTCCTTTCATATGCACAGTGGGGTTAAAGGATTACTGGTGGAATGCTTCTGCTTTTCTAGTACAAAGGAAGAATCATTTCATGTTTAATGTTCACAATACAGTTCATTTCAAAGCAACTACTGTATAGTGGAGACGCATGTTCAATAAACAGATTCAAGTTTAAAATTGACTGCTTGTGTTCACTAAACATGTTCATGCTTGGAACAACTTAATTATTTGTTTTAATGTAAAAAAAAGAAAATATTTATTACAAAACAATACTCAAGCTTTCATTTAGTGATGGGAAGTTCAGATCATTTTACTCACTCGGACCCTTGAGTCTCATTGAGATGAACAAATTTTTTTTCCCAAGTCATTTCGTTATTAATAATATTATGTTACGAGTTGCTTCCAAACTCATCTACAACTAGCCCAAAGTTGATAAGACTACAAACAAGTCATGAAGAATGCTAAAAGAAAGAAAAAAAATGATCATTTATTGTTTACTTGGTCTTTTGTCTATGATTAGCCTGTCAGCTCACCTCTTCTGACAGATTCCAATTTGAGTGGTTTGTTCACGTCACACTGACAGTCCTATATAAACTTAACCAAAGCACACAGTCTGAGACAAAATGAGCCATGATTAGTTCACTTTTCGAGTCTTCTGGTTTTTGAGTCATTTGTTAATCACGTGACAGCATGTAAAGGGTTGACTCAAACCTGAGGACTCGAGAAGCGAATGAATCAAATCTTTATCCAGCCCCGACTGCAGATGAATGGCTTCAGTCTTTCACATGATGAATGAATGATTTAAACTGAGGACTCGAGAGATAAATGGATCAAATCTTTTTCCGGTTCTAAATGCATACGATTGGCTTCTGTCTTTCACGTGATGAATGAATGACTAAAACACAATAGAAGACTCAACAAAAGGAATTAATCTTATACTCCACCTGCACAAATGTGCACATGCACGAATGAACGACTCAACTATCTTGAGTGATACAAAAGATCTGTTCAAAATGACCCAATTGTTTAAGAAAACCTAAAAATGAAAGAAAAATTTACCTCAAAAATGTTATAATTATATGTAATATAACAAAAATATTGAAATCTATCAATTTAAAAAGTGTGAGTTGCGGTTGTATTTATGGGTCAACAAGAACAAAAATTCAGATATACATTTTTTTAGAGCACAAAGTGTTTTGCAGTTTTTGTTTTTGAAGTGTTCATGTTTCACTGTTGTTGTTGGAAGCGTCATCTTTGCATTGACTTCACATGTTAATCACTCATGCTTCATCCACGTTTGCTCACTGCACAGACTGCAAAGCCCCCCACCCCTCATCCGTGTAATGTAATAATTGTGAGGGTGCAGGTGAGATGTCATTTTTCGTGAGACACTCAAATACATCAAGTGCGCTGTGTATGCAACGTCTATAAGTTATGTAAAATAATTAATTGCATGAATATAATGTGTGTATATGGTTTGGAATTGGATGTTTGATGAGAATTTTTTATTTTTTGTGATTATTATGTGTTTAAATGAAGAATTTTGCAGAATCGCAAAAATGTGCAACTTTTTGATGAATTTGCTTGGGTTCAGCGATCGCAGAATCGCAAATAACAAGGAGGTTTGACTAAGACTTCAAAAAAAAAAAAAAAAAACATTATAATTTAGATCAGGGGTGTCCAAACTCGGTCCTGGAGGGCCAGTGTTCTATATATTTTAATACTACAAACTTCCAGTCAGGTGTGTTGAAGTTAATTGGAGCTAAACTATATGCAGGACACCGGCCCTCGAGGACCGAGTTTTGACATCCCTGATTTATATCATACAAGGTGTAAAAACCTTGAATTAACTGATTATGATATTATATCAGTAGTTAAAGAACATTTGTTAACAACTCAAAACACCATATCTCACTCCCTAACTAACTTTAGGTTTATTTCCTCTTTATTAGGAGTCTCCACAGTAGAATGAACCGCTATTTAGGAAAACATAAATATAAACAGCTAACCAAGAGATCAGATAATTAACTTTTAATGGCTTGCTTATTTTTTATTCGCAGAGCTGTTTATTTCATTTTAGTTGCACATCTGGCACACATCTTCCTAAAACCCACAATGCCTGAATACTAGACTTGCGATCTCAGATTTTTGCACCTCACTGTAAATAAGCGCACCTTGACTCTCAGAGCTCACGTGTGATGTGAATTGTGGTCTTCACAGGATCATGAAACCCACTTTGAGCAGCTTATCGAGTGGCAGGCAGTGCGACGTGAATGGCGCTTTATCAATTAATCCCTCCCACTGAAGCGCATTGTTTTTACTGAAAACAAGCAGGAGTGTTGGTGAAGATATGAAGGCACGGAGAAGGAGAGCGTGGGCACTGACAGCCTGAGGCCTTCAACTCAAAACCCAAAAGATATAGAGCCTCATTTTCACCCTCCATCTGTAAGCGTAAATTAGTCACCGTGCGACAGCAAAAGGAGAGCGAGTGAGGGAGATAAAGCCGGAAATTAAAGAGTAATCAACACCACCCTATAGTAGGATGAGCGTTTTATTCCAGCATTAAACATTTTGGCAGGAAAAGCTTGAGGACTGTATTTGAGAAGAGGAAGATGAAAGTGTGTGTGTTTGTGTGTGTGGTCCTGCTGTGAGTGTGAGTGCTGGGCTATCCACCATCAGCATTCTCTGTCTGCTCAAGGCCTGTTTACTCAGCACAACATTACAATGGTAATCGTAGAGCGCAATACGCTTTCACTCTACGCGTGTGTGTGTGTGTGTGTGCGTGTGCAGGTGTTGTAAACAGCAGTTAATACATTCAGTAGAAGTGAGTAGCCTGTGTGTGTGTATTAAAGGGACAGGTCACCCAAATCTGAAAATTCTGTAATGTTCTATTTGTTCCAAACCTGTTTGACTTTCTTTCTTCTGTTGAACACAAAAGAAGATACTTTGAAGAAAGTTGAAAACCAGTTCCCTTGTATTTGTTTTTCCTACTATGGATGTCAATTGTTACAGGTTTACAGCTTTTTTTAAGATAAATTCTTTATGTTTAACAGAAGAAAGAAAGACCAAGAAAATAGTCCATTTTCATTTTTGTTTGGGTGAACTCTCTTTTTAAGGACATAAATTATAGTTTAAGGACATAAATTATAGTTAAGACTTTTTTTTGAATTAGGGGTGGGCAGATTGATCCTAATATTGATAGAATTAATTCCAATGTTAGTGTTGATTAATTCTAGCCTGATGAGATTGTCGCTTTAGTTAAAAGCTCTCTAATCTATGCTAGAGTGCATTGCTCCCCTTTTACAAAGTGCAGATGTGTCTAAAAGAACAGTCTACTCATCTGCTACGGTTAGTGGCTGACTGTCATAACTGGGCATTCCTACAGTAGTTACATTTGTGAATGAAGTTCTTTTAAATACCCATTCAAGTCAAGAGAGCGCGCACACGCACTGTTAAGGGGCACCTCAGCTGGGTATTAAAGATGGAGACAGTGTGGTCTCATTTCTCCCCATCATGCTAAGACTGGGAATCGAACCTGCAACTTTTAATTACAAGTTCAACTCTAACTATAACTATAAGTGAGTAATATTAGGAAGTAATGTATAGAATAATGTACAGAATGTATCAGTTGTCTTGCCGCAAAAAAAAAAAAAAAAAAACATTAGAGGACAATTAGTACATAAGCCACCCTATCATACACCCGGAGCATTAATGCGCAAGACAAGCATAGTGCGATTTGCAGCTATTTTTACACCAGCGCAACCCTAATCTTTAGGTTTTGCACCACATTGTTTAAACAGCAAATCCATTTGCGCACACTTTCAGTTTATTCATAACACATTTTACAATTGTATAATGTTTTTATTTTTAGCAGTATTATTTATTATAAGCATATATAAATTTATTGTAATTAAAACAAGTTTACATTTGTCCACCTGTCAGGTTTTGGAGACGTATGCATCACCATATGGGGCATTTGGATGTTACTCAGCTTTTCAACTTAGTTATTATTGTTTATTTATTCATTTGCTGGAAATTAGAACTGAATTTAGAAATAGTTTTGAAACAAGTCTTCACACTTAACAAACAAAATTAAATATGCCGGCTAATAGATGTCTTCAGTGGAGTGCATACAACACCGTTTCCTTATCCATTAAAAGTAAAGGAGCAAAGTAAAAGTAAAGTAAAGAGTAATTAAAGAAGCAGAATGGAGGAGGCACGTTCTTTATCCTGGCACTGCTGATGGCCTGTTTAACAGTTTTCTCACAAGTGAAGTGTTCAGTTTTCTGTTCAGTTTTTACACGTATAAAGTCCGCCATGTAAAAAGTAAATGCGACATGATGCGATGCAACTGACTCTTAAAGGGAATGGGTGATAAGAGTCTGATTAGTTTAATGCACGTTATGCTCAAAACACACCCATAACTCATTAAGAGAATGAGCACAACCCTATTAGACCATGCGCAGGAGTGCAGAGCTTATTTTTTCGTCCTTAAAATAGCAAAAGTGGATTTGGAAGCGCTCTTAATGCTTTTTTGCCATGTGCTTTAGACTTTGCACCTTGATTGTTAAAATAGAGCCCAAAGTGTTTAATGTCAACAATGAATCAGGAACCTATGCATGGAACCAATGCACTAATGAATTTTACCATCATGGCTGTATATCTGCAAACATAGTGCAAATGTCTGTTGACAAAACAATCTACGAAGCAATCTTGTTTTTCATTTTGACATAAGATTATTTTGCTTATCCCACTGGTAGATTATTTTGCTTGTTTTAAGCCCACCTAATTATTGCTTATTATTTCTGAAAATGGCAATATTGTTTTGCTTGTCTAATTTAAAACATTAGAGATATTAGGACTAGAAACAAGATAAGCTAACCATTTTTTAGTGTACTTGTAACCCTGAATACATTTAAGATGAAGTGCTTCTTTACTTTGAAAATTAGCACTTGTATATTTATGAAAAAAAGTTTTATAAGTAGCGCATTTGTGTACTTCATCAACTACTGATCACAAGTCAGTTTCAATATGTGAAATTCTGAAATCACACCAATAAACCAAACAGCAGAGGCGTGATACAAAAATATGACACTGCTTCTCTGTGAAATGTTGCGAAGACAAAAAAATAAGTGAGCCTTATTTAGTTTATCAAGACTGTCTGAAAAGAAAACATTTCAAAAGTTTTATGTGAAGAGCAGCACAAACATTAGCAAAGCCAGCGATTAACTGATCTCCTGTGTGGCCCATCACACTCAAGATGCTGAATCGGAGCGATGATGGTCACAATTTACTGTTATATGTGACACTTTTACAGCACATTTAATTGTCAGTAAGTACTGCAGCTGGATTTTTATGAAGGTTACAAATTAAACATTGATGCTATTATTTCATGGTGCGAATTCTGATGAAGTGTATTTGTCATCAGAGCAAGCTGGACTGCATAATGACGCTATAAAGCACAAAACTACTGAAGTTAAATAAAAATGGAAATTATCATTATCATAACAAACTAAAGCTAAACTGAAAATCTAAAGTCAAAACAAAGCGTATAAAATTATATATAAATAATAATATATATTTCTATTTATATTTATTAATTAAATAGTAGACATTTATCAGTCTCCATAAAAAGGTTTATAAATCTAAGTATTTTATGCTTTTAAAATGCAAAAATTTATACTGTTTTTAGGGTATTTATGTATATTTTTAGTTTTTGGGGCATAAAAACACATCAACCGTGAAAAGTGTGTGTGGGAATGTTTTATACCTTAGTGTCCAGCCGTTGTAAATAGGAACAGATATACTCAATGCTGGCTCCGAACGGATGGACATGAAGAAACGTTGAGATGATTCCTGTGGAAGCAAAGCCAAATATGAATCACTGACAGATCTGTCTGTAAATGTAGGATTTCTTCCAAAACATTTAAGCTGTCATATTTTAAAACCACATAATAACTCTAATAAACCTCATAAATGACTCATTTTAACCATCACACCAGATTATAAAATAATATTAGAATAAATAGACATGCCATGTTTTCAGACATGTTTACACACTCTGAAATAATGCTGGCTTGTTGTGAGCAAACATTAAGTCAAATATGGACAAACAAGTGTTGGGTTAAAAAGTGTCATTTAAATTTTATTGAAAAAAAGTAATTTAATGTTGGATTTGTCCAAATTTGATCCAATATTGGGTTTTGTAACGTAACGTAATGTGTATTTATACACTGTCAGAAATAAAGGTATGAGAGCTGTCACTGGGGTGGTACCTTTTCAAAAAGTACACATTTGTACTTAAAGGGTTCATATTGGTACCTCAAAAGTATACATTAGTACCTACAAATTTTAAAAGAAATGCTTTCGTACTTTTTAGGTACCTGTATGTACCCTTTTTTAGGTACCCTTTTAGGTACAAATTTGTACCTTTTAAGAAGGTACCACCCCAGTGACAGCTTGCATACCTTTGCTTCTGAGAGTGTAGAGTGCATTTATCATGTATGGCCATACACCAAAAGCACTTTACAATCATGACCACCACCAGTGTGCAGCATCTACTTGGATGAAGCGACGGCAGCCACAGGACAAAGATGCCAGTGCGCTCACCACACACCAGCTATTGGTGGAGTGGAGAGACAGCGATAGAGCCTATTCGGTGGATGGCTATGATGGATAAGGGCCGATGCAAGGAATTTGGCTATGATGCCCACCAGATTAATGACTTTATTGACTACAGAGTCAAGGTTTAATGTCTCATTCGAAAGACAGCGCTCACTGACAGTATAGTTTCCCCTTCACTATTCTAGGGCGTTAGGACCCACATAGACCACAGGTTAAGCACCCCCTGGTGGCATCATTAGCACTACTGGCAGAAACCTAGCTTTCCCATGTGGTCTCCCATCCAGGGACAGCCCTGCTTAGCTTCAGAGTTGCAGAGAGCTAGCTGCCAGCTATTCCTCAGTGGAATAACCTTGGTTTTTAATCACAACAATGACAATAACTCTGAAAAACTGTCAAGAAAAATGCTGTAAATGACGACATTTGTAAAACTATTTACACAAACCCTACTTAATCAAGAGAACTGTGGTTTCTTGAAAATATACTTTGTTTAAACATATTGTCACCTAAGAATTATAAGGTTCTATCTGACATTTCTGTCAAATTGAGTTTTTGACATATTCTTATTAAATGACAACTTATTTACATTATGGGATGTTTTTTTTATAAGTTGTTTACATTTTAAGACTTTTTATTTAAAAAACAAGTATTACACACGTACTGTTTGCTATGTGGAATGCAAAAACTTTAAAGATCGATGTGTTAAAATCATTCAGAACGCAGATAAAACCTTATAATTCCAAGGTGATGACATTTTTTTTTGTATACATTTTCAAATATAACCCTAAACAATAACACTAGTCATAAGGGCATTTAAAAAAAATAAATTAATTTATCATCAGAAAGCAGAATAATAAGCTTATCATTGATTAATGATTTGTTGGCATAGTACAATATTTGGCTAACATACAACACTTTAAAAATCTGGAACATGAAGGTTCAGTTTTTTGTTTTGTTTTGGTTAAAAAATCACCTTTAATATGAAGTCCTCTGCAATGAATTTAGGTTTTGATGTATTTGTGGTAGGAAATGTACAACATGTCATCATGAAACATAATAATTATTAATATTCTGACGATTTATGGCATAAAATAAAAGTCTTAATTATACCAGTGCAACTTAAGACAGGTTTGTGGTTCAGGGTCACAAATATTTAACCACTGAATATAAATATTTATTCACACACACTTATAAAATATTCTTCATAAAAAAGAAAAAAGAAAAACTAGCAGTTAATATCAACACCAGAACACACTATTTTACATGACATCTTTTCTTCCACCTTGGATGATTTTATTTATATTGCACTGAATTTTGGCATTGCATGCTCCACATGGGATACAATGCAGCGTCAGATCTTGGCCCAAATGTGATATTCTAGAAGACAGAATAATTATTGAATTTAAAGTGTGCCTATGAGGCTTTAAAACGCAATCTAAGCAGGCAACTCGCACAGTTTTTGGAACTGCATCGGCAATTGATATTTCCAAGCGCTTGATTTGCAAATGATTCCAAGTGCTTGAGGTGTTTTCCCTCAAGTGGATGTCCTCATCGGCTAACTCTGCCTCTTGAACTTTCTAAATGATTATGAGTGTTTAATTGCAGTTTTGATGCTGTTTGGCGTAATCAAGCTTGTTCTTCGGCCTAGCGAGTGCTTCAGTCAAACACTCAAACGTATGGAATAACAATAACAGCTGCATTTAGCACTTCTGGCTTCAATGCGATAGGTGTGTGCTGTTAACTCAATTATTCTGAATGCATTATGGTGCGATCAGGAAAGCAAAGCAGCCCTCCAGAGAGAAGCGCACAGGTGCCGCATAGTCAATATTCCATTAGTCTTGATGGACTGTAGATATACTTTATATATTATACATGGTTTCATTGCAGTGTTTGGATTACTATGCCTTTCCATTTACACTGATTGATTCAAAGCCAAACATTGTTAGGGGAAAGAAAATGGACCTTGCATAACGTAATGCAATGCTTCAGTAATTAATGCATGGCTGGTGGAAGATATAATGCTTTACGTGCTTAAATAAACACTCAGAGCTGACAGCTGTGCTCTTTACTTCAAAGATCTGACAACATTTACTCAACCTCATGTCATTTTAAAAATGTGTGATTTGCTTTTTTTGCATATAGCAAAGGCAGAATGAAAGCTTCAGGTTTGGCTTTTTAAAATCTGCAGTGAAGGAATAATGTAAACATCCAATAAATGGCAAACATTTGCACAATTGTTCTGAAGCCATATATTTACCACATTATAGTTAAAAAATATGCCCTTTATGCACTTCTCACTTGCATATACTAACAGTGTGTCAATGGCCCTGTTTACACCTAATGTATTTCCAGCAATCCAATCAAAATTGGATAAACAGAATCTGTGTAAACAGAATCTAAAATGGTTTGAGGTTATCTACTTTTGACCACTTCCAGAGGTGGTAGAAGATGCATTGCACTGGATTGCTTTTATAGTGTAAACGCTTATGTGGTTAAATGCGCTCCAACAGCCACTAAAGACCACCTACTCTCTAAATGTGTTGTGAGAAAGCACACCAAAACAAGGGACACAGATTACAATTGATTGTCCGGACATAATTGGTCACAATAAATGCGTTTGGACATACCAGGCGGAAAGAGTAATGCCTCTTGCTATTGCGTTTCTAAAATGCATGGTAATATCTGTTGGGGCAGCACTGTTGTGAAGTTGTGTTGCAGCAGGTTTGTAGTGAGTAGTTATTTAACTACAGCAAAGAGGAAGATCTTCATTATATACTTGAGTAGGCAATGTATTTTGAGCATTTAAACAAAGCAGATTTATTAAACATATATATTTACTAAAATAATATTTAAGTCACCAAACATTTAGAAATTGAAAAATTATACAATTAAATTCAAGTAAAATATTGAAAAACAAAAATCTACAAAATTTCTGCTAAATTGTAATTTTTTTTTTTGCTTCTTTCGATTTTTGCTCTTTTTAAAAAAATTGTAATTAATATTTTTCTATAACACATAAATTTGGGTGTGCTAGTTTTTGGAGCGTTATCGTAAGTTACACATATTGAACAGTATACAACTGACAAATAGTAACATATTGGTTACCAATTAATATATATCCTATACTGATGCTTTGCACCTAAGGCCCACATTACCAACATTGATACCGAAATGTGGATTTGTTTACCGTGTCTAAAGTACATTAAAAATAACCCTGGCTTATTAACTCAGCGCAGAGACTGAATTATGTTGTTCAGAATGGAACGTACCACTCTGAATGCATGAGTTAAATGTACGGATCACCCACAAATAAACATTTACTAACCACTTACTCAACCTCAAGTGGTTGCAAATCTGTTTGAGATCGTCTGTTGAACATAAAGAAAGATATTTGGAAGAATCTTGGAAACTGGAACCCACCCAAAAATACAATAGAAGTAAATGGCTGTTGTTTTGTACACATTTTTAATACTAAAATTCCAGGACTTTTTCATGACTTTTCCAAAACTTTCAGGTAAATATTCATGACCTAACGTTTCATGTAATGTCTACATACACGTAGTAAATAAGAAAAAATATATTACAGCATATCAAAAAATATGTGAAAATATCTGTAGTTTGTTTATTTCATATCTGTAAATTTTTTTTTAGAAACTCTCTTGTGAGAAAATGTTTAGAAACGTTGGTTTGTGTCTTCACAAGACTTATTGAATTAGCACAAATTAGCCTTTAGCACCCACATTATCTTACCTCTGTAGTTAGAGTTTGATTTTTGGACATGAGACTCAAATGTATCTCAAATTACAATGAATGCAAGTGAAAGAGAGGTGAAGCTGTAACTGCAAATTGCTTTTTGCCCCACACAGAGAATGTCACGTGAAGGGATAGACATCGCAATTGTATTTAAAATTTGCCCAATATTATCATCTCATATATATTTAAGTTCAGATATTTGTTAAACAAATTTCCATGACTTTTCCAAAACATTTTGGGTTTGTTTATTTTTCCAAAACTTTTCCAGGCCTGGAAAATGGCTTGTCAAAATTCCATGACTTTTCCAGGTTTTCCAGGATCGTATAAACACTGTTTGTACCGTTCTTCAAAATATCATCTTTAGTGATTAAAAAACGAGAAGGATTAGTTTATAATGGCAACATTTTTTTATTTTGAGCGAACGATCCTTTTAATAGACGAATGTTCCTGCTTTCTCATACTTTTGTTTTAAATAAAATATGACTTTTTCTACTTGTGAAGCCTTTTTTTTTATATAAGCCATCTGCACATATAAAATGAGTTACGTAAAGATGTATTGCAACAGGTTTGATGTCAGCGGTGCATTGTTGCATTGAAGCTCTTTGGCAGATAATGACTTATATTTCAGTCTGTTTCTCAGACAAATCTATAAGGCATGAGAAAAAAAATGAGTGCAGTTGCGCTTGAGAATGAATGCAGTTGTCAATCAGATGACAAAAGTCATGTACTATAGTGGATTTATCAGTAAAAACTGATCATATTGATCTTGTAGTACTTTCAAAACCACCTTTCAAGTTTAATGTCATATGATTGGCTCATCATATCGCAACATAATGGGCCATTAGCATCCACATAGGCTGCACAGGGTCAGAGTGAGTGAAAGTGGATGAACGATAGCAAACAGTCTGGCAGCTTAGAACAGCTGCCGTATGGAGCGGATCAGATGCTGTCATGTGATGTGGCTTCTCTCTGCTTCCAAAACCACATTTCATTTACTACAAGAAAGCACTATCACAATGCACTTCTCAACCGCATTATGTCTGGATGCAGGCTTGGCGTCTGACAGGAGCTCCACCTCAAACACAGCATGAACTGAAACTGATCTGATGGAACAAAAGAGGCTGACGGCGAGGCTCATGGAAAGTTAACCAGCACATACTCCACTAGAGGTTACTGAAGCTGCTTTCTTCATCAGAGTGCAATGTGCCGGACAACAGCACGGTCAGCACTCTTTCCGGTCACTGGACTGGCAAATAAGCCAAATAAAATACAAATAAAAACCTCGACAACTGTGCCAAACGTCTGTGGCAAGCCAATTACTGTACACAACAAAGAGAATGATGAGTGCTCTTTACTACACACTTACACATCTGGATTATATCTTCCTCTTATGGGATGGCAACCACACTGTAAAAACAATATGTTCTTCCTCAGTATCTTTGTCAAAGGCTGAATGACATTCAATGCCCTGATGAAATTCTTAAACCCTTTAAGAACCCTATCTAGTGAAGAAATATTTATGCTAACTTCAGTGACACCGATTACTTCATGTAATCCAGTTCACATTGGGCTGCTGATAAGCATGTTGCACGTTATTCTACGATAACAACCACTTGGATGTACCTTATCCCAAGGGTATATTGGCATGGACAGAGGGGACATGTCCCCACCAATATCCACCAATTACTGAAATGTCCCTGCCAATAATTTACTCAACTTCAAAATAAAGTAATGCACCGTCAACTCTTGACCTACAGTTCAACGCAATACTTTTAACCAAGTCTGTTAAATCAAAATTCAGTTTTAATTCTGGCCTCTATGAAAAAAAAAACAAAACCTAATCAGGATAAAAAAGTTAAATTGCATCACACACATCTCTAAATTACTCTACATTCATACCTCATCAAAGCCAGACTGCAGTAAAATCATGTAAATTGACTTTTGCAGCATGGGACAGGATGTTATTTGCATTTATAAGTGTTTATTTTATATTTTATGTACTTTATTCATGTTTTTAAAAGTGAAACAGAATTTGTGCTGTTCAATGCATGCGCTCTAGGGATGTCAAGAGCGTATCTACACCATTGCCTTTTCCAGCATATTACATGGCTACTTGCCAAAAAACGTAAAATTTTGACACAAAACATTGTTTTGAGTCATAATAGTATATGAATACTTTTAAAAACAAAGCTGACAAATGAAAATGGCTATATGGAGCATACACTAATTTAGGTGTTATTCAGTTAGGCTAAATTTACACTGCAATTGATTCAAGTGACTCAATTCTGATTCATTTTTTTCTCCCATGTGGCACAGATGGGATATGGCCCATGTACGTGTGTAAGCAGGAAAAAAAAAATCACATGGATTCTGATTAACTCAAATCAGATTCAGGCCTTGTTCATATGTGAAATTTGATCTAATATGAAACAGATCTGTGCCCTTATGTCTGCAGTGTAAGCAGGTACAGTAGATCGGTTTTTCACCTGTCAAGGTGAGCCATGCGTCATTATAAACCATAGCGAATGACATCAAGTCTGACACTTTCATTTCAGAACAGACTTCAGCAGAGTCGCAAACCTTAAATCTCATATACGAGGACTAAAAAGACGTTTATACTGTCATATAGCACAAGTATTTAAGCATGTTAACGAGAGAGAGAGAGAGTGCACAATATCCACCACGTACCCAATATAAACTAATATAAAACTATTGCACATGTGCATAAATCACGCCATGGACATGACAATAAGATGCCTACTAGTTTAAAAAAGCCTAGATTAAAAGAAGATGGCCAAATGAGAACTTTTCTGTCATAAACTCTAGTAAAACAACTTGTTGAAAAGAATAATAAAAAAAGAAACCATGCAAACAGATTTAATACAGGAACAGAGAAAAGGGCACTCTTTTATCTTTTATTATAATTTCTTTCCTGGCCATTGCACCTTTGCCGTGTGCTGTGTAAATGCAGGCAAGCAGATACGAGTCACTTTTAAAAGATGATTTAAGCTGGTCAAAAAACCAATCAGATACAGTCACAAAATCTGAATGACCATCAGGATCTGCAGTGTAAATGCAGCCTTACAAGATGACACAAAACAGATAAACATTTAAATATGGATGTGAACATGTTCGCTGAGGGTCAAGAGGATTCCGAATACCCAGATGAGCCTCTGTTATTAGTTTTAGTGGTTGTTATCTGGGAATCCAAATACCATGGAAAGTTGTGAATATTCTGTATTATCTTGTACAATGTATTTTGCATTTGTTTTTACGTGACTTCATTGTCTATTAGAGTTTATTTCCTCATCAATATTATCTTCAGAGTTTTTCAATAATGTGGATAAGAGATTAACGGGATGACATACAGTAATACACATGTTATTTATCTTGAGCAATCTGAGCCATTTCAATGATGTTGACTTAAAACAAGACAAAAACATAGAAGAACATGTGTATTTAAAACCTAAAATAATTCACTTGTAATTGAAAATACATGATCATCTGTGATTTATGACAAGCGCGGTGTGCATCTTTCTGACCATTGGTGTAGTGAACTCATCAAGGGTTAATGAGCAGCCGCAGACTAAACTGTGAAGACGGAGTTGTTTGCAGAGTTATTTCATTTCACTTTGTTATAAACAACAGACACGTTCAGAAGGGGAGTTTGGGTGCTTGAGCACCTGCTCTTTTTTTTTTTCTCTCAGAGAGAAAGTTCATCCTTAAAATAAAAATGTCCTCTCCTTACCCTCGACGCTGGCACTGTACCCTCGTACCCCCCCCCCCCCCCCCCCCCCCAGACACTATTCAGCTTTGCGATCAACCTGCACCCCAATCGTTAACCAGATTGGTTAAAAAGCACTAGTTTTGCCTTCAAATTATTTTTCAAAATGAACAATCAACTTTCTGTGGTAAAGTAATTGCCCCCCTGTGTCTACTATTCTACTATGCTGCTGAGGAGTAGACGCTCGAAGATTATATAAAAAAATCACATAAAATCCGACATAACCGTTCACATTGCGTTCGCATTGCATAACATCAGATCTGTGTCTGATTTAATACTACATAAGAAAGTGGCACAAATCTTAGTTAAAAAGATCAGATTCCATGCGGTTTGGGCTGTTCACACTGTCAAGAAAAAAACAGATCTGAGTTCCATGTGGGCAAAACAATCAGATTCAGGCCTGCAGTGTGAACGTAGCCTTTGAATTGAAGTTCTGAGGCACTTCCACTTTTTGGCCACATTACCGGATGTGCATTGATTTTTATTAATGCAACACAGTCAATTATTTCTTCTATCATCCTATTATTTTTTTCTAACTGTTTCTCAAAGTACTGCGAGCTGTCTACTTAGACGAGTTTTTTTGACCGTCAATTTTGGCACGACTCTCTGTCTTTCACTCTTTCTGGGTGTGCTGTGAATAACATGTTAAAGTTCCTCATTAAAACGCATCCGAGGTGACTCATTTGAGCCTCATTTGGTCAGGCAATTAACACCTGCACCCTTGCAGAGATAGCTGTGGATGATGAAAATAATGAGAAGTGGATTTTTTTTTACAGCCTTCTGTCTGATTAGATAAAGTGTGAAAAGAGCTTCCAATTGCCTGTATTGTGGTCCCTTGACACTCACCGACAAGCAGAGCCTCTCTTTCTGACTTCACCGGACTGGGGGGACCTTTTTCTGGCAGGTTTTCCTTCTCCTGGCTGCAGGACACCACCGCCGTCGTCGCAGCTTCCTATTGCGGGAAAAAACAACAAAAAAGAAAGTTGTTTTCTTCTCACAGGCCCTCTGCTCCTCCTCTCATTACCCCGGGCCTCTGACGGGCCTGCAATCTCGTCGCCCAGTTGTGTCAGAGTGATTTATCCTGCGACAAATAAAGTTCTCCTGCGCTCGATTGGCCTGTAATGATCTGTCATGTTCTGCGAGAGGATGGAGGAGGGGAAATGGGACAACAGAAGGGGTGTAGAGTGCAGCATAGAAGGGAAAATGCAAAGAGAAAGAGCAACAGAGAGGAAGGAACAAAAGGATGAAGAGAGAAGAGGAGAATAACAGACACTTTTCATGAATAGGGTGCAAAATAGGATGGATGAATAGGAGCTGCAATTGTTTTCCCCCAATAAATAGTCAGTGAATAAAAGGCCATAAAGAGATAGCTCTACATATTGTGTTTATTGTGAGTGTGTGTGTGTGTGTTTCTGTGTGTTTGTTTAATACAGACATAAAACATATATAATCAGTTTACTTGCTTTTTATGAATCACCAAAGACCACAAATTTAGCTTTAAATCTTTGCTTGTGTTCTAGTGAAGTAAATCTTTCGTGACCTGAGGGTGTGCAAATTAACAGCTAATTTTTCTTTATGGCTGAACTCACTTTAACCTTCAGTTGTCACTTTAATCTTCAACAGTCAACATCAGGGGGTGAAACTAAATATTACATGAGCCCATTTTCCCAAATATTTATCAGGGTTTCACAACCCTTTTAGGAGCATTTAAAACTGCCATGGACACAATTTTAAATCTTTTTCATTCCAAATCCAATCATCAATGGCAATAGGAATACTAAGTAAATATTGAATATCGTGAATTAAAAAGATACTTAAAAATACTCTATAGTAAAGAAGACTTTTATATTGATGACAAAGATCAACTATGCAAATAAACAAATTGAACGCTGTTCTTTTGAACTTTGGATTCAACAAACCATCGTCAATTGTACAATACTGGTCAAGTTTGAGGTCAATTTTTTTTTATTCATGTTTTTGTTTATTATTATTATTTTTTTATTAACAATATTAATAATAATAATTAACATTAAAGTGATTTCTGAAAAATTATGTTACTATAAAGACTTAGTAATGTAGCTGAAAATGCATCTTTAAAATCACTGGAATAAGTTATTAAATTAAATTATCAACTACTTTTGAACAATTATTTAATAGTGCAATAACATTTCACAATTTTACAATATGTACTGTGTTTTTAAATAAAAATAATGCAGTCTTGGTGAGCAGGAGAAGCTTATTTTAAAACATTTAAAAATCTTACTGACCCCAAACTTTTGACCGGTAGTGTACAAGATTTTTAAAAGATCATGTGACTCTACACTGAAATAATGGCTGCTGAAATCTTGTTTGTCACATGACCAAATCATATTTTTAAATAATCTGAAAAACAAAGCTAAAAAGTATTATTACAAAAATGACTATTTAGATTTTTTTATTATTATAATTATGGGGATGCAAATATTTTGCCGCCATCCATACTTGCTGTCTACAGTTGTGTAATGATCATGTGAGTGGGGCATGACAAATCAGGGAATGCTACACAATATTCCAGAAAACAGTTTTCAAAATACTCTGATTCTTTAAGCTGAAGATGCCGGAATAGTGTAGATGCCAGGTGTAACTGCAATAAAACCCATACTACCTGACAAAGTCTTGTCATCAATCCCAGTTTGTAAGAGCTACAAATAATAACTTGACATCTAGATGATCATTTGGACAAGTGGCAGAAGGTAGATTTTTTTGATTAATCATCTGTTGAACTGCATCCTAATCATCACAAATACTGCAGAAGACCTATTGGAACCCGCATGGACCCAAGATTCTCACAGAAATCAGTCAAGTTTGGCATGCAAGAGATCTGTAGAGTGGATGGCAACATCAACAGCCTGCAGTATCAAGACATTTCTGCTACCCATTACATTACAAACCACAGGAGAGGGCAAATTCTTCAGCAGGATAGCGCTCCCTTTCATATCTCAGCCACCATGTTAAAGTTCCTAAAGCAAAGAAGGTCAAGGTGCTCCAGGTTTGGCCAGCCCAGTCATCAGACATGAACATTATTGAGGCACTCATGATGAATTCGTAGAAACTTGATGAACTCTGGGAGTCCAGATCCATAATCATATTTTATCTAGGTAAAATAAGCGTAATCTAGAGGCCTTTGCCTTTCATATAAGCCACTTCTGATACTAAATGATCAACTAGAAGTCAAGTTATTATTTCTTGTTTCTAAAACTTAGATCAGCGACAAGACTTTTGTCAGGTAGTGTATACATTTTAAAATGAAAACTAGTGTAAACATTGCCTTCATGAGTTTAAAACATTCTGCTTTTCATTGAAGCTATTTTTTAATAAATTCTTTTCACTATTAAATACAGCTTTCTTTTTAAAAGTACTGCTTATTAATAGTTAGTTAGACAGTAGACAGGTTAAGGGTAGATTTGTGACATATTTACAGTATGTTATATAGAATTTGGTCCAGCATTAATATGCTGTTCAGATATAATATATAGACTAATAAACAGCCAAAATGCAAGCTAATACAGTAACAGTAAAATTGCTCCCCAAACGTGTTATTTCTTTGTCTAAAATATCCACATCTCAGTATATAAAACACTTTTTTGCTCTATTTGTGCTTCTATTGTTGTGTTTTGGTGAACCCAAAGCACTGAAAGTGTCCTGTTCTGCTGGAATGTGCCAATATGAAGTGTGATGAGGAGTGACGGTGTGGACAAGAGTGAGAAATGAAGAGCAGCGTTTGCCACTTACGCTGGCGTGATTTGCACTTTCATCGCCGCCTCTGTCCTCCCGCTCGGCCGTCTCCAGCTAGTCAATTAAAAGAATGAGAGAGAGCTGTCAGCGAGTAATATATCACATACTCACACACACCGTTCACACTAGACAAACCGCAGGCCAGGAAGTAAAATCACAAGCCTGACACGGCGAGAGTTGAAGGTCAGGTTTGCAAATGGATTTCTGCAAATGCCAAATAAGCAGCGAAAGCTCCGCAGCATTTGTCCTGCTCAATGAAACTCTAATGAAGCGCGGTTTAATCGGCAGCCGTTTCAAGCCGCTCTGCTGAGATTAGTAACGCAACCTGATGCTGACGGAATATTTAGCGGCATTCGCCAAGGCAAGCAGCACTATTGTTATTGCTCGTGCTTGTGGTGAGGGATTTGAACAAACCCCAAATCCAAGTATTAAACTTTGGATTAGCGCCATCTGGGCTACATACATGAACGATATCTCAAATCACTCGCCTTGTAGAGCTGAGGCATGTTATTACTTTTGGAAGTGATCTGATTTTGTTCTGGCGATGATAAAACAGGTGGAGAAATCCCTTGAAAGAGCAAGACCATATCTCGATGGCAGAGTATTATAGACTCTGGGCATACAGAGGGCCTTGGAGGTGCTAAATATAATAATATATTAAAAAATAAAAATCATGACAATATTGGCAAGCGCCTGTGGCAAGTTTTAGAGGGGCAAGCGCCAAAAACATTTTCTTCATAACATGCAAATGCTTTGTATTAAAGCAGATAGCTTCAGCTTTCAAGTCTGTTAAAATGAATCATTTATATTTTAGAACAGACAATATACAGCATGTACACCTTTGGCTACATAATTGAATAAGTTGTATCATTTTAAATTAAAATAACGGGGTAGAGAAGTAAAATAATTAATGAAAAAGAAAGTTTTATTTGCATAATTTACTTACAATATATAAAACATAATAAACAAATACAAATTAATGTGATTACCATATTATCTGACAAGGTCACATTTTACAGTAAATTTAAAAAAAGCATTGGTGTACATAATTGATTTTAAATATTCTACTTGAAGCATTAATTAAAAAAAAAAACATTTTGAGGGATGTAAACAATAACAATGGTCTTGACGTATAATATTCTGTTTTACATTTCCATAGCTTTTGAGAGTCCAAAAAGTTCCACACATTAAAAAATAATGTTACGATAGCCGTTATAACATCAAGTTATGACTGAATTGCCTCTTGTTAAAGATATGAAATAGTTTGTCAATAAGCAGGAAATGTTCATAGTCCAATGAAATCACCACCTTGAAATGGTCTATACATATATTTAAATAAATCATTTCAGTTACTGTTTTTATATTGGATTATGTACTGTTTAATTTAGTTTTCTTAGGGCAAAAATGAATGCATTTCATAATATGATTCACAGAAGACAACAAAAATGAATACACCACTAAATACATTTGTTACTCTGCATGCAGATCAATGAAAAAAAAAAAAAAAAAAAAACTCATTTAGGCATTTTAATCGATTAAAACCCCAAAACACAAAAAACAACATCGGTCATAATTATTATATCAGCAGTATTTTCTTAGAAGTCTGACAAATGCACTGTAGACCACCAACCCAACTCTCTTATTCAGCATACAAACACATGTGCAGTGTAAAAAATGCTTGACAATATAAGTCAGAGCACATTTCAGATTATTAGAGGTGCCATATACTGCATTGGTTAATTAAGTTAAATTGTTCTCTGATATCTACATAGTAGGTTCATGGCTTTGGTAAGAACAAAAAATCTCCAAAAAATGGTTTCATGAGCTAATTTATTACTCTATAAAGTACCCATAGAATTAGAAGATCCATGATTGACCATATATGTTTAGCATCGTGAATATCAATGAGCTCCGCTCTGACGCTCTTACAGACACACACAGCATAATGTACATGGAGAAATATAAAACCAATCAGAGTGACGTTAAACTATTGAGCTCACCAAATCTGTTGTGGGTAAAGGCTAAATTATAATTAGACTTGACAAAAGAGAGTGATAAAGATGTGTCGCATTGTATTTTATAACTATAGTCAAAGAAAACACAGCCAGGAATTAATATCAACCTCTACATGAACAGAAGACATTTGAGCTCAGTGATTTGACACAATTTAGCATCGTCATGTGTTGAAGCATACGCATCCAATTTCACAATGAACATTAAAAAATTAACAAAAGATGTAACTAATCTTAGGGTTTGCCTGTTCGGAGTAATTGTGAATAAATATGTAATCTGTAAATCTTGCATTTTGCATCCTGATGTGCGTTTGAAACATGTCTCGTGCTCTTATTGTCCAGTAACGCAAACAGTTTGGTGCTTGTTTTTAAAATTAAAGTCCCCCATAATAAGTAAAATATATGGTTATAACTAAGGGAGGAAAATTATCACTGTTAAGGCATGCATATTAATGATTTCAGAGCTTTTCAATGATCTAAGAGTTGCATATGAGTTGTGTTGTCTGTTGCTTGTCAGGTCTGGATGAATGACCTAAAGTAAGCATACATGCAAATGCGGAAGGTGTGGACCGTGAGTTCCATCCCAGTTGGTTTTGTTCTTTGATTGGACCGTTGTCCACAGGGGTTTTACACTTAAGGAATTTACATGAGAACAAGGAAACAGTGGTGTTTGAGGCTCACAGTATGCTCCTTTCCATATACTGATCTTTTATTATTCCACTATGCCTTAGAATACCCAGATTTTCATTATAGACCATTTTAATGTGGTGATGTCATTGGCCCATGAACAATTTCTACTTGTTATCAAACAATTTCATAACGGTAACAAGAGGCAATTCAATCATAACTTAAAACAACTATCATGACGTTATTTATCCATATGTGGCTCTTTTTGATTCTCTGAAGTTATAGAAATTGAAAATGTAAACCAGGAAATATGTTGTGAACATTGTTGTTGTTTACATCCCTCAAAATAGTCTATAGGGCACCTTAAAAAAAGAACTTGTATACCAGAAAATATGCTAATTTAGCATTAAACTTGAGTAAAAGATCTCTGGTGATTGTACTCCTTTTTAATGCAGCGAGCTGTTTTTTGACATTCTACAAATCTCAGACAGTCATTCTAGGATTGGAAGAAAACGATTAATAAAGTTGATCACAGCAGGAGACGGAAGAGCAAACACTGAGACGTGCACGTCCAGGCTGATGTACGACATCCACGACGCATTCATCTAGCAGAAAACAATAAACTGCTCTCGCCAGCGATGGCCACAGATCTATAGGAGAAACGGCTGCGTTCAAATTGATTTTCATTTCTTCCATTAATGAGTCTGTCTCAGGTGATTCATCAGTGCACATGCTGATGCCTTGAACTCTCCTTCAGCACGGATCAGTGGTGCCCAGATAAATTCACCCGCCAAGTGCCAATCAAACCCGACTCACTGCCGTACCACATGCAGACTTTGCTCCTTCTCTTCCTGCTCGGAATTATGAGTAGCCGGCCAACCATTTCCAAAATGATTAGTCTTGGAGGTGATAAACCCAAACTTAACCTAAAACGATGCGCTCCACAGTACCAGATAAGGAAAAAAACAGAGATAACAACATCTGTCTGAACAAGATAACAGGGTATCACATTTTTGGGCGTGCACCGTTTAGCCTTCTCAAATTGCCATTACCTTTTGGAAGTTCAATTTGAAACTGATTTAAATGTCACTTTTTCTAAGTTTCATATTTGGAGAGTTTTACGGATTGTTCGTACAGAATAGTGCCGTGAGCAGCGCAGTGGTCAGGTTGCCGTGAATAAGAGCTGTGTGGGAGACAGCGGTGGTGACATGCGGTTAATTGAAAGAGGCTTGTCGTCGCCGCTGGTGTGGCGAATGTGTGCTGGAGCTACAGAGGTGCCATTAGTTTTCATTAGTGTCTGCTGCAGCCAGTGCTGGAGAATTCATGCGCTGATGCTACTGAAGACTGGAAATCCTTACTGAGGACCATATAGTGGATTGTTTTGCATTTTCTGCTCTTAATGCTGCATATTTGTCAACATGTTAGCGTGTCCAAGAATCTTTCTGAAGTATTTTGTTATAAGTATAACATTGGTATGAATAAAAGCATCTTAAATATAGTATCTAGAGTACAATAATTCTAACTATATCAAACTTTAACTATAGATCGTAAATATAGAAACTGAAAATTCTCTATCACGACAACACAACTGTTCTGTCTGGTTCTTGAATCTGATTGGCTGATAGCCATGAATATGCTTATATATTAGACTTAATTTATTAATGTACTTTAGTGGCCATTTATTTTGTATTAATAAAAAAGATCATTGACACTGTTCAAAACACATTACCTGCATTATTTAAAAACACCCCAACTGCATAATTTTGGTCAAATCTCTGAACGTTTGTCTTAATAAACGGCATTCGAATGACTGCGTCCTTGTAAATAGAGAGCCTAACGCAAGAATTTCACACTGTTTTATTTTGTTTCCAACACCGGGACTCATCCGGAGCTCATGTTATTTTAATTAGAGCGCGGGGAATCAGATATTGCTGTTCTGATCTGAATCCCCGGAGAGCGTTCAGCAGGACAGACTCATTAATACACACCGTCCTCAAACCGACAGCCGTCTCATCTCTCCTTTTCCTCCTCATCAGACAAAACACACCGAATCCAGACAGAGTTAAAAGAACAAAGACACAACAGAAGAGCTCCAGACAGAGAGACAGACATCTGTTACTCACGGGCAGCGCGTGTGATGTGGGAAAAGCTTGAATCCGATCTTTCAGGGTCTGGATCTGGCTTTCGAGCTGTTGTTTTTCCTCTGAGTTCTTCTCCAGCTCCATTTCCCTCTGTTTCAGATCCTCGCGAAGCTTGAGCAGTTGCTAGAGAAATAACATCCGAAAGGCAAATGATGTTCATGAGGTTAATCATCATCAAAGTAGAGTACCTGATGGTTTCCCCCTTCAGTGTTTATCATTGTGCACAGAAGGAGTAGTATCTGCTTCCAGACGTCATTCAGGGATGTCAATGTAGACCTACCTAGGCTATTGTGTATGTAATATAATGACATTGTGTAGTCCTACAATGTGCGTCAATGAAATCGTTTTAAATGCAGGCGGCTGTGCACATTTTTCCGCTAGCATGTCACAACCACATTCTACAATAATGGAATACAATTTTCGCATGGACGAACACTGAAACCGCGTAGAAAAAAAAGTGTGGTTTAGAAAAATACCCGTTTGTGTGAATAGGGTCTTATTCCATCACTTTAACTTTATGACTTTAGCAGAAGTGCTCGTAAATTATCAAAAATGTGTTAAGTGGCTTATGAGTGAGTGGGAAAGCAAACAAATTCAGGATGCTGATGGAAACTGCAATTATGTACAAAATTCTGGAAAAAATTTACTATTGGATCAACTTGAAAAAAAATAAATAATTAGGTTTTTTTCAATTAAACTAACTATAAAATATTCATAAATTAAGTAGAAGTATTTTTTTTACAGTGTATTTTAGTAATTACACTAATACCTTGTTTAGATGCACTTTCCTACAACATGACCAATAATGATCACGTGTTTAGTCAGTAAAGCTATTCAATCTTGTTTTTAACTATATCTGCGATCATTGAAAGTGGAAAAGCTCAAAACATTTTAGATTTATTTAGATCAATATTTATGGTCGCATCATCCACTTGTTATTGAATTAACATTTAATTAATTAACAAAAACTCACATTCAAACTACTTTTAAATGAAAAGTTTCGCTAACAACCAAGCCGAGCAATTGATTAGCATGAATCAGTATAACTCTATCATTTTAACCAAGAAAAACATTGGTCATTCAAAAGTTGCAGTGCATTCTGATTATTTCTAAAGCAACTTAAGTCAAGCAGAGCCCATGTTTTTTTTTTTTTTTTTTTTTTGCAGGGCTCTTAAAAGTGTGAAATGTATTTTCAAGGTCTGCTGCCTCTGACATCCTAGCTCAGGATACTATTTGTGCCAGCAGGATTCAAAATGAACACTCACAAAGTTCCAAATTAGCTTCAACATTGGCTATAGTGAGTACATACTGTAATCGCCAGTTGGCCACTACTAAAATACATAGAGTGAAAGGCAGACTGTGGTTGTAGTAAATAGCTGTTTCCTTCCACCTATTTTTATGCAAGTTTTTGGAATATCAAATTAAAAAAATGTTTAATGGCATTGCCAAGATTAATTTTGAAAATCACAGCAAAGAAATACATTCGCAAAACTGGCTAGGATAAACTTGTATCTGATAAGGAGAAATGTGGATAAACTACAATGAACCTTTTCACAAGACTGCTATGTTTAAAGGTCATCATAATCTTAAATCCTTAAAAACGTTTTAATATTTAGATAAAAAAAAAAACATATGAACATTTATATGGATTTATAAATCTATTATATCATCTTTGCGTCAAATCACAAAAAATGCATTACCGCTTATAAGTTTTGTTATTATTTATGGTGAATAACTATAAACTGACATCCCCAGAATTCCCTGTGTTATGTGTAACATTTGAAGTTTTCTGTTAAAATAACTGTTTGTTATTTTTTTTTCTTCCTCAGTAACCCACAATATGACTTTGGTCTAAATGTTATGTCGTTAAATTAATGTTTGTTGCATTATTTATGTTTTGTGTGCTATGATCAGTTGTGGGTATGTGACAATGTGTATTTTCTATAAACTATAATATACTTTCTAATTTTTCAGAAAAGCTATTTGTGATGAGCTTTGACATTGTATCACACAGTTTTTTTTTAAAAAACTAAAACAATGTTAAAGGAGTGGTCCAATATGATATCATATTTTAAACTTTAGTTGATGTGTAATGTAGCTGTGTGAGCAAAAACAACAACTCTGAGAGTAATATGCTCAAAGTTCATTGCAAACGTAGACAATGGCTTTCACATTGTAAGCTTAGCAAAGCCTACAGCAAACAATGTTTGGGGACTACGAAAAAATACATCCGGGTAAATGAGATCACAGATTTGTTATGCAATAAAAAAGGTTTTATTTGAGAAGAGGCATGAGGTTCAGCTGTGTCCTTTTCATTTTATATCTAATTCAGGCTCACACTGACATGGCTAAACTGACTGACAGTATTGACACAGCAGAGGCATCCCTTTAAATCCAACTACAATATCCACTGCCATATTTTCCATGGTGAAGTTCTGGCAACAGCAGCTGCTCTTTTATCTCAATGGTGAAAATATTTGTAAAATTTCTTAAGTGCAAATTGTTGCAAAGTAAATCCTACACTTTTTTTTTTCACAACACGTCTTAGAGCAACGGCTACTGAGCTAAATGGGAGCACTAACACATAGATAACATTACGTATTATGTACTGTATACATCCTTGACCTAGACAGTATACAATGGCCAAATATGCCATCTTATGCTGACTATTCACTAGGCTTGCTATCAAATAATTCAATCTCAGGTGTTATGACTGTGTTGAATAAGGCTTTATTTGATTACCTCCAGCTCATAAAGACGTTTCAACAATCTGCACCTGATATGACAGCTGTTCCCCGACCTCCAGAGGTGCCGTGCCAGTGACATTCAGAAAGGAGAGGGAAAATATTTGGACGGTGTGCATTTCAGTCGGAGACGAGTAAATAGATTTTGTGCCTTGAGGATGTTTGTATGTCTGTAGCGGCGCAGGTGAGGGACTGATTAAATCCAAAGCTGGATACACACACACCCAAGCTCTGAGCTGCCAACGGCCAATATCAGCAGTAGTGTGTGTGTGTGTCTGCCGGACTGAATCTATGTAAATGAGAAAATAAAAGGATGTGTCTATCAGCATAAGAATGATTCATATATTAAGAGGATGTGATGTATTATTACTGCTCAATCTTACTAGAAAGGACCAAATGTGTTGATATAATTTGCTGTGCATTGTGTCATATAGTGTTATACGTCAAGGTGTTTGACTTATTGAGGAGTGTGCTATTATTATTATTATTATTATTATTATTATTATTATCAGTAATGGGAATAACGGCACTATAAATAAACGGCGTTACTAGCGTTGATACTTTTTTCAGTAATGAGTAATTAAATAAATTGCAGTTTCCCCCGTTACAAAGCCGTTACCGTTATTGACAATAAAATACATATTACTATAATTGAGGACACTGAACCGGTTTTCATGCGAGCAGCGTCTCTCTCAGCCATAGGACCTCTCTTTCTCTGGGGTGGGTGTGTTTGTTCGAGGCTGGGGCGGGACACATACCTAACCAGTGATGATGATCGGTGTGTCTGTGAACGTGGTGTAACTGAGAAAGTGATTATTGGCCTAGACAGAGTACATTTCCATCATTTGCCAAACATTGTAGTGCAGGTTGAGTATTAGTAGAGTGTAGCAGACAGTCTACTAATACTGAAATGTACCATCAAAATAAAGTGTTACCCTTTAAAAATGAAGTAACTCAGTTACTATTTGTTAGAAGTAACTAGTAACGGTTACTAATTACTCTTTAAAAGGAACATACCCAACACTGATTGTTATTACCATGAGTGATTAGTTTTATAGTTTTTAGACAGAAAATTGGGTAAATAACTTTACATACAGTTAAAGTCAGAATTATTAGCCCCGCTTTTAATTTTTTTTTAAATTTTTTTAATTGCTTTGTACTGTTTTTATTTTTTTCTTTCTCTTACATTCTACGGGTGACTAAAAGACACAGACGTTTCTGCACAATGCCTTCCTCAGTGTGACACAGTTTGATACCTCAGTGTGATACCTTTTTTGAATAATAGCATTGACAAGATTGACGCACCAAACCAAAAAAGTTCCTTAAAAAATCGCAAGTGCGAAAGGAAGACTTCAGCAACTTTTTCAAATATTACCCAAATGATGTTTAACAGAGCAAGGACATTTTCACAGTATGTCTGATAATATTTTTTTCTTCTGGAGAAAGTCTTATTTGTTTTATTTTGGCTAAAATAAAAGCAGTTTTAAATTTTTTAAAAACCATTTTAAGCTCAAAATTATTAGCCCCTTCAAGCTTATTTTTTTCGACTGTCTAGAGAACAAACCATCGTTATACAATAACTTACCTAATTACCCCATCCCGCCTAGCTAATCTAATTAACCTAGTTAATCATTTAAATGTCCTGTACAGAAGTGTCTTGAAAAATATCTCGTAAAATATTATTTACTGTCATCATGGCAAAAATCTAATAAATCAGTTAATAGAAATGAGTTATTAAAACTATTATGTTTAGAAATGTGTTTAAAAAATCTCTGTTAAACATGAATTAGGGAAAAGAAAAAAACAGTGGGGCTAGTAAATCAGGGGATTTAATAATTCTGACTTCAACTGTAAGTAATACATACAATAAATAAATAATATAAAAAATAAACAGCAAATAAATAAAATGACTCAAAATAAAATAATCAAGAATAATAAAATAATATATAATAATTAAATTGCATAAAATAAAATAAATGTAAAATAAAAAAGCACTGCCATTATACAAATACGCACATGGGAATGCATTTGACTGATCAAAAAGTAACAACAAAAGAAATACAATTCTAATTTAAATAAATGTTATTATTTAAAAATGTTATGTTTTGCTATTATTATAATACTTTACGGTTTCCCCTTACAAGACACGAGGAATTACTATTTTTAACATTGTACAATTTGATGCTCAAGGAATATTTTTACAATTTTTTTCAATGATATTTCTTATCAATGGATGAAAATGTTTTAAAAATGGTATATTTCATTGTAAAAATATTTCACAATATTTCTGCTATAACAGTATATAGTTAATAAAATATATTCAGCCTTGGGTAGAATTAGAGATTCCTTAAGAACATGTAAATAAGCATATTTTTTCAA